TGTTGCCTTGCTTTTTTATATTCCATCAAAACCATTCCATGATATAATAATAATAATAATAATAATAATAATAATATTAATAATAATAAATAGCATTTGTATAGCGCATACTCCCGCTCAACAGCAAGCTCTAGGCGCTTTACACTATAGTATTACCCCAGCAGACCATAGAACATTCTGAAACATTCTTAGCTTCCCGGGAAGCATACAGTGCCAGCAGTTGATTAAGTGCTCAAACACTAATAAACTGACAAGATCTTTCGCTGTTTATAGCCGTGTACCCATTCCCACTTGGGTGAAGTGAGAAACATTCGGGTAAAGTGCCTTTCCCAAGGACACAACGTCGGGTCCCTGACGGGATTTGAACCCACAACCTTACGGTTGCGAGTCCGAGAGCCTAACCACTAGGCCACTGACGCCAACATAAGTCCTGGAACAATGTAAATATTCTGTTAACAACTTAAATGTCTACAGGAAGGTACAGAACAGTGCCGCATGAGCTCAACTTCCCTTTCAAACTTTCAACTCTGTAACTAGAAAGGGGGGTTCTCGTGACCTAGAGGTTAAGGTGTTCCCCTCTGACTCAATAGGTCTCGGTTCCGGGTTCGAATCCGGATAGTGTCGGAAAACAATTCTTCTCTAAAATATTCTCCTTCGAAACACTTTCCTGCTCTCTAGCAATGTTCTGTCGTCTGCTTTCGTCTCAACTTTCTGCCCCCACCCCCTCACCTCCTTTACCCCCCCCCCTCTTTGCTTATGACTTTTTCTGCAGCCTTTCTACTGCTCCTCTATGGCTTCTTTTTGCTGCTGTCTTTCCGCCACACCCACGATCTTGTGGTAGGAAAGACCTACACCTAGCCTTCTCGGACAAGGGCAAAAAAATGTCGGAGGTCCCGTGTGCAGGTTGCGTACGTTAAAGATCCATTGGTGGAAAAAAAATCGAAACAAGTAGGCTTTGGCCGCCACCGTGCAAAATTCAAAATTTCCTTCCAACTGAAAATGTTTGGTGTGTCCCGCGCGCTCATATGACCTTATGTAGTTGTGAGCGCCGTAAATCACTAACCCCCCCCCCCCCAAAAAAAAAGAGTTACACATCCATCTTAGAATCTAGCATGAGAAAAATAAAGTCAAAGCACCAATAAAAATTGTAAAAATATTTTTTTAGAAGGCAAATCAAGAATTGAAAAAATACTCTTTTTTATAAAAAAATTGGTGTAGGCAATTTAGCATACTTTTCAAACTCTACAAAAACATTACTAAGGCTGAAGAATTGTGAGAAAAATTAAGGATGCTGTAGTAAATGTAGCCCACATTATATCGTGCTCACTTTCGTCTGTCCACGTAAAAAAAATCAAGCTCATTTAAATTTACCAATGCCAATAAACTTTGCATGGCACCTCTACAGGCCAGCGACCAAACAAAATTAAAAAAAAATATTGATCCAATAATTATAAAGCATTTTTCTTTGAGCCCTATAACATTAAAAACCGCTTTTTGAGTACATACACAATACAGGATTGCTAAGATAAATGAGTTATAGTAATCTAACCAACAAATTGCTCTTTTAGAGACAGCGACACCACCCTGCCCCTACATTTCAATGTAAGTTTGTCGATTTCATCCCACGGCAGACTCCTAAAAATTACTCACCCCGTCTCTTGAATCTTGCTTTTTAGGTGAACATTTGGCTATGGTGTGGAGGCCAATATTTATACTTTGTAATGTTTTAGGTGTATGCTGTAAACCCGTTATCAGTTTTTACCCGCGTTAGGCTAGCATCAAAGAAATAAATGTCTTGGAACGTTAGTTTGTACTGACCTTTATGACCTATGCAAGGGTCGAAGGAGATTAACAGAATAATTACATTTCACCTTGTTTTAAACGCATTCAAACGAAAGTGAACAAGCTATAGCTCTATACTCTACGATGGTAAAAAATGCGCCATTGAAATATAGAATTACATAAATTGATAAAATATGTATAAAAATATACCAAGAAATATTTTTAGAATTATGATAATAATTAAGCTTAAGACAGCACATTAGCAAAGAAATGGATGATCACGGACAAATTAATGATGTAAATTACAGCGTAAGAAATAAAACGAAAGAGAAGTAGCAATCCAAGTCAGATGGAGAGAGGTTTTAAAAAACAAATACGGAACACCCACAATGTGATTGATTTGATGATTTTGGTGGGTGGTGGGGAAAACCCCGACAGTGGCAGGCATCATTTTGTGTCCTACTTGGAAATACGTGGAGGTGGGTGGTACAAAATGTCAGCCTCTTTCAGGTGGAAAAGTGGGTGCTAATCAATACGCTATAAAAACAGAATTAAAAGTTTTGGAAGCACTCTTCTAATCAGATGGTGAGATTATATAACATAATATATCCATTAAGTGATTAACCCTGACTTGAAAAAGGAAGCAACTATTACAGCATAAAATTTCAGAATCAACATTATACTCTGGAGCCACATTAAGTAACTGAGATAAAACTTACATCACAATACGTTTTGTTTTAACCTTTAGACAACATTAGGTTGTTGATATAAGTTATCTTTCCATCAGACCAAGTTATTTTTTGGGGTCTTTGTTCAAGGCCATGATTTGGTACAGAGGTAATATTCACGTCCCAAACTTTCCTTGGACATTTTCCCTGCAGGTCTAAGCAGCTATGTGTTTTCCTGTTTGAAGAAGGCACTGCATGCAAGGAGAGGTTTTTCCTTTGCCACATGGTTAGGGACTGTTCACTGATGACGTCAGCTAAGAGGAGGGGGGAGAGGGAAGGGCGGGTGGTCATTGAAAAGTTGACAAAAGTTGACATGAGGGGGGGGGGGGGGTCCTTACAAAGTTGCCGTCAACCATGATGCTCTAAAAGGTTGTGTAAAAAAAGAAAAGAAAAAAATATACGTTTTTTATCTTTTTTCTGTGCTATGGGGGGCAATAAATATTCTTTTGGCCTTAAAAACTAAAATTTAAAAAATTAGCGGTTATATCTACATAGCACAGACTGCTAGAAGTACTAGATTAGAACTAAAATATCAGTTTTTATTTTTCAAAATTTAAAATACAGATCAAAGGTATAAATATAAAATGCACCCTGTGCAGGCTCTATCTAAACTATAAACATGTACATTTTGGTTAACATCAACTTGGGGGTAGGGGGGGGGGGCATTTTTGGCCAAATCTTAGCTGGCATCATTTGTGAACAGCTCTTTATGGAAATCAAGAGTTTTTCTTCCTTTGCAAACACTGGCTTAGAGCTCTAAAACAATTCAAGTGTGTGTCAATCTGCACACATGCCACATTTCTCCTCTGTTACAATCAAATAAAACAAAGATTTCCTCGCTCCAAAGAAAAATATGAGGATACTCAATTTTTTTTTTTTATTGGAAAGAATGGGTTTATTATTTCTTGAGTTAAGGAGCAGTATAGACCTTTACAAAAATCTTGAGGGATATAATGAGAGGAGGAAGTTTCAAAAAGAAGTAACATCCACCCCCCCCCTCCCCTCCGAAAAAAGAACAAACATTTTGAAAACATATTATATTATAAAATCACCCACCTGGATAAAAAAAAGACAGAAAATAACACAACTTCGTTCACAGTAAATAAAAATAGATCAAGAGCATGGCAAGATGTGCAAATAAATACAAAATATTTAAGTTTGAGCAATTGCGCATTAGTATAAAATTGATACATGAAATAAAATCGAATAAAACTACCCCACCCCCCTCAGTTCTTCAGCACTTGTGAAGGCTTGGAGGAATATTTATGGATGATCTTTATACAGTAGGAAACTACAAAGGAAAAAAGAGCACAGCTGATACTGATATCGCTTCTAAAAATAGAGGAATTTTTCACACAACTTTCTTTGTTCACTCGGCAACTATAATGGTACATGAACATGCGGTACTCAAAACAGTGCACCTGAATACTTTACTTTATCCATCCTCTTGTACCTCTAGGGTGTAGAGGGGAGAAGGAGCTTCCTGTCTCTTGCAAGTGTGTTTACGGCAAGTGCAAACGATGTTTTTATGAATGGAGACCTCAAAAAGACGTCAACCAAAAAAACCCCCATGATTACTTAACTAGTTCGATCAAAATAGAAAGATTCACCGCTTGTCTGGAAATTGTTGTGTATGTGTGTGTGTGTGTGTGTGTGCGTGTGTGTTTGTGAGTGTGTGTGTTTGTGTGTGTGTGTGTGTGCGTGTGTGTGTGTGTGTGTGTGTGTGTGTATGTATGTGTGTGTGTGTGTGTGTGTGTGTGTGTGTGTGTGTGTGTGTGTGTGTGTAAGTGCATGGGTTATTTAACGTCCATCTCCTATAGGATTTAACCAAAATATGTTGAGAGGCTTAAAATCTCCACAAAATGATCCAAGATCGAGAGCGCTGAGCCTAGGATTTGAACCAGGGCCGTACACTCCATAGCCCAGCATTATACCAACTGAGGTAACGGAGCGCCCCACTTGATTGTGCTGAAAGCCGATGACAAAGTGGAAGAAGAGGATAAAGATATAAGGCAAAAGTATTATGCATAAGGCACTAAAGTTGGTGTTTGCTGCAAAAAAAAGGTCACAGTTTCTTCCAACAGGACAGGGCTGTGGGCCAACAGGAAAGGCTTGCGGCGAAGTTGAGTCGAGAGAGTGGGTCTTTCGGTGCACGTTAGTTTAGATCTTTACAAGACCGTTATGGGAGTTTCTTTTTGGTCGTTGATCCCTTCTACATTTTGGTACTCAGGCTCTGAAGAACAAACACAGAATAATGTTTACAAAAAACACAGTTTGAGAGTTAAAGCATGAGATCATGGCTCAAAAAACCTACAGCAAAGAAAAAAATCTTGACTTTGGTTTGCTGAAATTCACTTCCTGAAGAAGAACACGGTTTAATTCTATTAGTAGAATTGCGGAATGTAAGAAAGAGTTGACCCCCCAAAAAGTGTTTTTATGTTGGATGTAGGTAATTGAGTTCTCAAAGAAAGGAAAAAACTCTTAATTAGTTATTTAAAATTCCAACAGTGACATAATGATGCAGTCTGGAGTTCCAATTGTTCAGAAACTTAAAATATAAAATATTCTGTCTTATCTGGAGAAAGACCCAGATAGCCATAATTGACAACTGTTCTAGTCGGTCACTAGGTGTACATTTCCTGTTGACGGTCACAAAACCATAAAGGGGCACAAATGAAAAGATCAGTAGGCTGGAGTTCTTTAAATAAAAATGCATGTTGAAGTTTCATAATTTAGGTGTTCATCTCTAAAACTTAAGATCTAGAAATAATTATTTATCCAGTTAAAATTGTCTAAGACGCTATCAATTATTGAGGACAAAAGTGGATGACTTAGACAGGTGGATGTCTTACTCAATGTCATTATCATGTTAAAAAATACACAAGGGGGGGGGGGAGTTGTTTGTACAGGTGATTGTCATATATATATAATATATTATTATATACAAGTGATCGTAATACCGGGTGCCCATTGGTACTACTGGCTGAGTCAGGTCGGTTTGCTAGCCAAATTGAGGGCAGAAAGCGGCTATCGTGGCACAAACAGATTGCCTGATCAGATTGCCTGATTCGTTGCCTCAAAAACAAACGCGTTTGTTTTCCGGCGATGAGTCGAGTGATATACCCGACCCGACCTGATCCCATCCGCAATGGGCACACGGTATTACAGCAGGGTCAACTATACTTGGTCACTTTCCTGGAAACCTCTAGAACTAAATCTTCAGGGAACAATGTATTTGCTCCTTGTCTAGCACACACATGTCAAACATCCATCTTTGAAATACCTTATTTATCAGTAAGAAGTCTTTACTTCAACATGTCAAGAAGTAGTCGATGTAAAGACATGGGAGCACAAGGAATGGATTAGCCAACACTCATTGGATTTAATCAGGATGAGAAGACAACTGGATACAGAAGCAAATTCAAGTAGAACAAGAGAATCAAGAGCTGTAAGCTGTACATTATCGACACACATATTTTGCTTTTCTCCTGAGCTGGATCTTCAGTGCTTTACTTGATTCAGTACGGTATACGTAGACCTCAATTAAATAACACGTAATTAATAATGTAGGTGTCTTGGGTAGCCTACAAGGTTATATTATGCTGAATATTGAAAAAGAAAACAATGTCAGTCACAAGTACTCAAAGCTGTAAGTTTCAAAATATCACTATCTTTATTCTATCACAATCGGCATATGTATAAAACACAGGGTGTCAAAATATTTTACATTTGAAGAAACATCATACTAAGTTCTTTAGCACCCTATCAACCAATGGTAAAGCAAGCCAGGGCAATGCCGCCCCATTTAGGCAGGGAGAGACCAGGAGATAAAACGGAGTGAAAAGAAGTACAACGAAAGGACAAGACAAGAGTGTTCTCAAAGCATCCACAAAACCTGTTCCTCCAGCAAAAGTTGAGCTGTCATGGACAAAATGGGAAATCCAAGAAGACCTACATGGTTGAATAATAATGAGAAGTTTCTTCCCAGGAAGGGTTTTCGTTCTTGTCCTCTTCACTCTCTCCGATATTGTCATAGACACTCTCCTGGTCTTCATTGATCTTTTTCTGTATCACCGCCATCAGTGCATCGAAGATGAAAATGTACTGAGTCTGAAAATAAAATCACGGTTGCCAGTTAGATCAAGATATAACAATTAACTCTGTTTTGCCTAGAAAAGCATTCGGTCTTTAACTATCAAAATAAAAGGCCTCTCCCAAAAAGGATTGTGAAAATGGTCATGACTGAAAATGAAATAACTCTCTTTATCATCTGTTGTGCAAAAGGCTCCCTCTACTCGAAGTTGCTGAAGTAAAACTTGCAGATGTACAACAAAATTATGTGTCTGGTATGTCACATCAGATATGGCGACCCTTATGGCGGAGATGGCAAAGAGGAGGCATCATGTAATTTTTACATGCAGATAATCTAAATGGGGTTTTCAGGGAACTCGTCGATATGAAAGGAGAAAACGTACAGAGGAAAAAAGCTGGTGAATCATGGAAGCAGCTTGCTATATTAATGTAGGACAGACAAATTTGGAAGTCAAGCAGTTGAAAACAAGCAGACGATGTTTGACAAATAGCCACTCTTATTTATGGATATAGGAGGTATTAAACTGGCTAGATTTGTTATGCTTCTTGATCTTCCGGTATCATTCTTGCAATTGTTTAGGAGCAGCTTGGATACCTGTACTGTAAGGTATCAGTTTGATGGATGCCTAAAGCAACCTAGGTTTGGACTGTGAACCTCACCTCCGTCTGCACCATACCGGGACAGTTCTCCCTCATCTTCATGACGTAGCTGAAAACGTCTATGTTTTCATCTAGACTGTGCTTGTCCACGTACTGGGTCAAATAGTCCAGGGCGATAAAAGTGCCAGTGTGACCTACACCAGCGCTGTGAACATAGAACAAGGTATTAATAACATAGAACAAGGTATTCATAACATAGAACAGGGTATTCATAACATAGGACAAGGTATTCATAACATAGAACAGGGTATTCATAACATAGGACAGGGTATTCATAACATAGAACAAGGTATTCATAATATAGGACAAGGTATTTATAACATAGAACAGGGTATTCATGAAAAAGAAAGACAGTCTCTGCATAGATAAATCGTTCAAAATATTCTCCCCACTTGGGAATCAAACTGCGGTCTCCTGCATGCGACAGTGAAGTGTATAAGCGCTACTCCACAGATGCCAGTATCCAATCCCATCTGATTAAGCAGATTAATTATGCAGACTCCTTAATTGACCAACAGGTTTCTGTTTTAATCATGTGAGAAAGCGTCTACCAACCTGCAATGGACGACAAATGGCAAAGAATTTGTAAGTGTGGCTTCCTGTCGCACAATTTGAACGAAGCCTACCACATCTTCTACTGTCAAGTCGGCCTTGGCGTCAGTCCATCCTTGCATGGAAAAGTGGGTCAGCTGGCGCGTGTCTGAACCCTGCAACAAATAATAATATATGGACACATCACTGTCAGGAAAAAGGAATCGTAGACTAGTCTCAATTCACAATGATTTCTTAAGGAAGGTATTCATACTACAGTGGCCAGGGACAGACAAGCGTGGCGTTGACTGCTCTCCGCTTTATGTACCTGACGGTATAGGAAGAGAGTATGAAAGTAAGTATTAATACTAATAATACTATAGTTTTATTTGCTTGCACTAGGATTTTTAATTTTGTAACCTCTGCACCAAAATATTTGGAATATTCTTGATGTAACCAAAAAATAGAAGAAAGACAAACTTAGCCCTCTAGTGCCCAGAGTGCCATATCTGGCACATGTCAAATAACCACCTTCAGGGGAAACGATAATTACTTTTGTTATGTTCGGTAATTTCATGAGGAAGGTAACTGGAGATTCATCCTCTGAGTGCCCTTAGAGGATTTTTTTCTGTAATAATTACCCTTTTCAATTTCCTGTTTTTTACCACCACCTCTGCTTGAAACAGACAACAGCACCCACTCTTCTTCAATCTATCACCATCAACCGTCAGGAACTTAATTGAGTCAATTTATCCATATATATGTTTTGAAACAAAGTAGATTTAGATAGTATCACAATCAAATTCCATGTTCAACATTTAAATTTTGATTTATGGGTTTTTTTTTAGGTATGGTCTAAATATGGCACACTGGGCAGCCCTGGACTTTTTAGTGTGCCAGATGTGGGACGCTGGGCATTTGAGTCCAGATTTTTTTCATATAGCCCTGTTTCAATATAAAATGTCAAAAAGTTCAAGTTGACTGGAAAAAAAAAAGAAGCAGATTGACTTTATTTCAGTGTAAATACATACAGTAAACAGCCTTTAGATTGTATGTAAGGGTTCATAAAGTTATTTTTCTTTACACAAGTGTATTTGTACAAACTGTGAAACACACACTACCGGTACTTAATTTTTTTCTTGAAACGATTGCACTTTGTCAGCAATGAGACTCAAGATGACAGCACAAGCAACGATCGTGTATGGAAACTCCGTCCGTGGATCAACGATCTAAAATCCAATATCAAAAAGATTATTCCGTCTGAGCATTAGTGTGTTAATGAAATTATAGTATCTTTCAAAGGTCAGTGTAGTCTGAAACAATACATTCGGAACGAACCCCAGGCTCGTTGTGGAAGTGAAGCCGCTCTGCACGACTTTGATATGTATCAAGGTTCAAATGGAGCTCATACTCGTAGATCAAAACTAGGCATGGGAGGTGAAGTTGTCCTGGTCATGGTGAAAAACTTGGAGGATGGAAAGAATTACAAAGTTTTTGCCGACAACCTCTTTTCGAGCGTAAACTTGATGAAACAGATGAAGGAGAAAGGACTGCTATATGTAGGAAACGTCCGTGAAAACCGCTTGAAAGGTTGCAAGTTGAAGGCAGAGTCTAGTGCATGCTGACTCCAATATCGTCGTCGTGCGATGGTACGGCAACAAGAAAGTGGATGTCATTTCGTCATACGTTGGACCAGAATCTGTTGAGAATGTTATCGGGTGGGACACAAAACTGAGTGAAAAAACTGCAGGGACGTGCCCTGCTGTAATTCGCACATACAATTAACACATGGGAGGGGTAGATTTACTTGATTGTCTCACCGCTCTCTACAAAGCAATAGTCAAGACTCGCCGATGGTACATTTGTTTGTTCTACCACGCAATCAACATGGTGGTAGTCACCAGTTGGCTGAGATATCGTTGTCACTGCAGGATGCTTCAGCAGCCCCCAGTAAAGCTATGTGACTTCCCTCAGTTGATTGCTGACAGTCTTGTTACCGTCGAAAGGTTGCCAGGACGACCTGCAGCTGGGAGTCCTCAGTTTCTCTCACGCTCTAGAACTCAAGAAAGGCCCCCAACTGTCGACTCGATCGTGTGGATCATCTTCCTCTCCACGCCGACCGGCAATGATGCAAACGTCCCAGATGTGACTCAAAGACATACACCCTGTGTAGGAAGTGTATGGTTCATCTCTGTCTGAACAAGGAGCGAAACTGTTTTGAAGAATTCCACACAAGAAAAACATTATAAATTTGTTCAACGCTACCCAAGTGTGACATATCTGACACATAATACCCAAATGCCCATTGTGCCATATATGGCACGGCTTGTAACTTTTTAAAATACAAGTTTTAGATGAAAGAAACTTTCAAATCTGATTATTGTACTTCCTTTTGAACATGTTCTGTGAAAATGACGTTTTTCTGTCTATGATTTCTATACCTGGGCACTAGAAGGCTTAGTTTCAATAACTTTCTTAGTCTTGGGTAATGTAATTTTTGGCCAGTGGTCACAACAACAGCAATATAATTATTCTTGGAAACAGAATAGTACAGGAAAATACGAGGAGCATATCACACTGTAGCCTTTACTAACGACTGGAAACATTATAAATACACGATGTCATATCAACTGTTTATGATGATATAAATACATGATGTTACATCAACTGTTTATATAAGATGATATAAATACATGATGTTACATCAAATGTTTATATATGATGATATAAATACATGATGTTACATCAAATGTTTATATATGATGATATAAATACATGATGTTACATCAAATGTTTATATATGATGATATAAATACATGATGTTACATCAAATGTTTATATATGATGATATAAATACATGATGTTACATCAAATGTTTATATAATAATATGATATAAATGCATGGTGTCACATCAACTGTTCATATATGATGATATAAATACATGATGTCACATCAACTGAAAAAATATATAAAATACATATTTATCACAATGCTGTGGAATCAGGAGCTTATCATTTTTTGGCATGTAGAGTTATTGGTTATTGTCTTAAAGCTTGAATTGTCCATTTGTCCTACTTTTATATTTTTAAACCCATCTTTTTTAAAAGGAAGTCGAGATACCTACAATTTAAGGTGGTGCCCCCCCCCCCCCCCCCTTTATTGTCAGAAGTAAAACTAGCGAGAAAATGGCTGCCAAAGTAAAATAGAAACAGAAATGTATTTTTGAATGGTCATTAACGGTAAAAATTGACCCACGGACGGGAAAATCTTGGGTTCTTCCGTTTCATTATTTCAATGAGCGCCCCATTTTACCATGAACCACCCCCTCCAAACCCCGATACAGACACACACACACACACACATTTATATATCTAAGTAAATAGTCTGTAGAGAAATTGTGTCGAGTATCTCAGTCTTTCTGCAACAAACAAGTAACTTACCATGGAGATCTGGAATTTACGTATGACGTATGTGTTGATCATAGAGAACTGGGTCATCTTCACCACAACGCCTCCATACTCAACAGAATCGTTGAGATTCTTCGGCCAGTACGATTTCCCTTTTCCCTGAAAGGTTTCATACTTTGAGAAAGGTATGAACTGGTCATGCACTGTGATCAGCTATACTCACTTTAGCCTGAGGCAAAGTGGCTCTGATTGTATATATATATATATATATATATATATATATATATATATATATATATATATATATATATATATATATATATATATATATATAACTGAATGTAACAATCGGCCATAAAGTGAAATTGCACTGCACCCCTCATCCATATTTTTCCCATTTCGAAAGTGCTTGACCTAGTATGCAAATCTAGGGTCACATGGGGTCACATTGGTGTTGCAGCTACAATGTATGTCTAACACAGGAACAGGGAACGGTGTGCTGTGACCATCTTGATGCGGGACGGCATGGCCGTTATACTTTACTTTGGCCACCATTGTTTTATTCCAAAAAGTATACCCGGTACCTTCTTTGGGAAGGTCAACTTATCACCGACTTTATTTAATACTGTACTGTGTCATTTAAAAAAAATCAAGTATGCTGAAGAGTTTGGTGAGGCTTTTGATTGACCATAGTCTCTTAAACCAAAATCTGCTGGACTGCCATTCTATTCTATTACGTATACATCTAAAGTCTTCACAGCCAAAAATATAGGTCAAACCATCACCACAGATAGAGAGACGTGTAACAACTGTAGGAACTGTGAGCAGAAAAATCCTTGCCCGCCAGTTGACCAACACTTCCAAGATCCTGGCCACAATAGTACCATTGACATTGCTTGAGGGCATTGATTTGGTCAAATCCTAACCAAACAAAACCTTATTCCTAGAGAATCCACGTAGATGTGGAACTTAGGCCCATACTATATTATTTCCCTATGTAAAACGATGATGATGATGATGATGATGATGATGATGATGATTTATTTTTCTCAAATACTATGTTCCTGATGAAGCCCTATTGGCGAAACGTTGAACTGTGAAATATATATTTTTTGGGGAAATACAACAAGGTCTTAACTGTTTTAATACCTTCTTTATACAATGATGATGATGATGATGATGATGATGATGATGATGATGATGATGATGATGATGATAGAGCAGGTGCTAAACGAATTATTATTATAATATTTTACAAGTATTACCTTCCAACCCTTGGTTTGGTCTGAGAGCATGACGATGACCTTACACTTCTGTTCCCACACCATCCTCCAGAAGTCTGGCACAGTGGAAGGCATGGGGCCCTGGGCAGCGATGTATTCCCGCACAGAGTTGTAGCCCTGCACACACACACACACACACACACACACACACACACACACACACACACACACAATCATACGATAGACAAATTTTATCCAAGTCAAGACTTATCCAGATACAGCTTCAAATTCACTAAAGTATCAACATTCGGTTAAAATTGTTTCAGGGTCCGAAGTTGTGGAAAGTTTTGGTTTATATTGAGGGAGAGCAATAACATCCAAAATAAGAACAATAATAATAGATCTAAATATGAAAAAGTATGGTTGGTGTAACTTTCTCCCTCCAAGTTGTCTATTAGTCCTATAAACGTTGAACTTTCGTGTCTCTGTATTAAAGCTTCAGACAAACTGTAGTTTGCAACAACTCAGCACAAAAACAAAATGTACTGCTCAAGTCAAACATGAGAAGTAAAATAATCTGTTTTATTTCACACAAAACTTGATCTTACTACAAAATATTTGAATTGTCTAAAAATCTGTTCCTAACTCAAGAAGAGAAATGAGACAAACACAGATTCCTGAGACTCATCAAACTATACAACATACTTCATGTTCATTTTTTCTTTGTTTGTTTTAGTAGAGGTTTTACAGCGCTCGCAACAGCTTAAGGTCACATGAACGCCAAGCGGTGGATGTCAACAGAGAAGTCCAAACGGGAAATCAGGCTTAGTCTGCTCACTTCTCTAGACTCAACAACACAAAGTTTGCTTCGACTATCAAGGCACCCCGGAAATAGCAGATCACCACAGAGTGACAAACAGAAAAGAAGTAGGGGAAAAATGACAATAATAAGGATGAGGAAAGAAAAAGCAAAAAGTCCCCCTATGTTGCTCCGTCACAGTATGAGCACAACATTGATAAATTATAAGCCCATTTAAAATTCTGCTGTGCATAAGAACATGTTAATATCCACGTCTCCCACCGCCCCCTCGCAACCTGCAGGAAAAGGAGAAACCAAACAAATATACAATATAAACGCACAGAGATATCTTGTAGACA